GGTCTGGGCGCAGTGGCTCATGCCTGTAATCCCAGCACTTAAGGAGGCAGAGGCGAGGGGATTGCTTGAGTTCAGGGGTTGGAGACCAGCCTGGCCAACATGGTGAGACCTTATCTCTACAATAAATTAAAAAAATTAGCCGGGTGTGGTGGCGCGCACCTGTGGTTCCAGCTACTTGGAAAGCTGAGGTGGAAGGATTGCTTGAGCCCAGTAGGTTGAGGCTGTGGTGGCCGTGAGTGTGTAACTGTGCTCCAGCCTGGATGAAAGAGTGAGACTTCAACTCAAAAAAAAAACACCAAAAAAACCTTTTGTGATTATGTTGGGTCTCCTGGACAACTCAGAATAATGTCCCCATCTCAAACCTTTAATTTTTTTTAAGTCAAGGTCTTACTTTGTCACCCAGGCTGGAGTGCAGTGGCACAATCACGGCTCACCTCAGTCTTGACCTCCTCAGCTTAGAAGATCCTTCTTCCTCAGCCTCCTGAGTAGCTGAGCCTACAGGCACATGCCATCATGTCTGACTCATTTAAAAAAAAATTTTGTAGGGATGAGGTCTTGCTATGTTGCCCAAGCTGGTCTCAAACTCCTGGGTTAAAGCAATCCTCCTGCCTTGGCCTCCCAAAGTACTGGGCCCTCAAACCCTTAATTTTTTCACATCCACGTATTCCCTTTTGCCATGTAACGTATCATAGTCTCAGGGTCCAGGCATTAGGGACACTTTGGGGGCTGCTTGTCAGTCTATCACAAATCTATTACAAATGGGGGCAACAACCCCAAGCGTGTCAGCGGGACGCGTGACTTGGACACCGAAAGATACGGCAGCCGTTTGCATACCGCGTCGACTTCCAGCAGCATCTGGAAATCCCATCTGTGCTGATCTCTCCTTCCAAGTCACAGTCGTTATTAAAGCAGCCACTGGCGGTTTCTTTTTTTTTTTAACTTAATGCATTAATGAAGAAGCACATAAATTACGATATCACAGTGAGGAACAATATTTTGATCACTGCATTCCAAGAAAAAATGGGATTCCTTTGTCCTGGGCGGGTTCTTTCACTCTGGGGGGGATCATGGAAGGCGGCCAGGAAGTCTAGGCATGGGTGTGAGGATGGCCGAGGCCATGAGGAGCACAGCCCTGCAAGGAGCCGGGACCCGGGCAAGTAGAACTGACCTGCCAACTGCATGGCTCACCTGGGGACTAGAAACCAGCAGAGAAGGACACTGTGGTTTTCAATCTACTGCATTTGGGGCTCTTTGTCACAATAACTCAGCAATCTCTGCTCAACAGGAGTCTCTCAATCAAGTTGCGCTCACGAGTGTTACAGCCGGACCCGTGTTCTTACACCTGTTGCCCAGAAAAACCTAAACAGACACAGCCATTACAGTAGAGAAAGAGTTTAATATTGCAAAGCAGTTAAGCAAGGATGGTGAGAGAAGTCCTCAAATTTGCCTCCCTGAAGATTCAGAGGATAAGGTTTTTGTTTTTGTTTGTAGAGACAAGGTCTTGCTATGCCACCCAGGCTGATCTCAAGTCCCTCTCAAGCAATTCTCCCACCTCAGTCCCTGGGATTACAGGTGTGAGCCACCCCACCTGGCCACGGAGGAGAAGGTTTTTTGTTTTTGCTTTTGTTCTGAGTTGGAGTCTCACTCTGTCACTCTGGAGTGTAGTGGTATGCTCACGGCCACTGCAGCCTCGAATGTCTGCTCAGGTGATCCTTTTACCTCAGCCTTTCAAGTAGCTGGAACTACAGGTGCACACCACCACACCCAACTAATTTTTTGATTTATTGTAGAGACGAGGTCTCGCCAAGTTGCCCAGGCTGGTCTTGAGCCCCTGGACTCAGGCAATTCTCTTGCCTCCGCCTCCCAAAATGTTAGGATTACAGGCATGAGCCACCACGGCTGGACAGAGGATAAAGTTTTTAAAGGGAACTTGGCACTTAGAAGAGGGTTGGGAGCTTCTGATTGATTTATGAGGCCACTGGGGGGTGGTGATACTGTCTTCCTGGTGGTCCTGTGATTGGCACAGAACTTCCCGGTGCTCTGGACCTGGGTAGGAGTTCTTTTTCACCAGAGTACAAAGTCTGAGAAAGAGCTCAGATACCATTCTTAGGTTTTACAATAGATGCTGTCTATAAAACAATTCTCCCGACCATCAGGTACTACCCACTGGTTCTGAGCCATGACAGAGACAGCCCAGGAGGAAGGTGTAGGGTGACTGGGGTCCCTGCAGATTGAGGCCACTTTTTGTCTTTCAAATGACAAATGTTTATTTGTACTGTTGCCCAGGCTGGAGTGCAGTGCCAGGATCACAGCTGACCACAGCCTCAACCTCCTGGGCTCAAGCCATCCTTCCAACTCAGCCTCTCTCATCTCTATAAACATTCACAAAATTAGCCAGGTGTGATGGTAAGACCCCAACTCAAGAGAAAATATTAACTGGGCAAGGTGGCACGCGCCTGTAGTTCCAGCTATTTGGAAGGCTGTGATGGAAGGATCACTGAGCCAGGCAGGTTGAGGCTGTGGTGGCTGTGAGTGTGCCACTGTACTCCAGCCTGGGCAACAGAGTGAGACTCCAACTCAAAAAAAAAAAAAAGGAAAAGAAAATAAAATAGACTTTTGTTTCACTTCAAATCCCGGGGTTCTGTGTGCCCTTTTGACAGGAGACCCAAACAAGTAAGGAGAAGAGTCCACACGTGGGCAGACGTCACTGACTCTGTGATCAGGAAGAGGTGGGACTGCTGCAGGGGGAAAATTGGCACAGTCAAGTTTGTGGGCTCTGTGAGGCACTGCCGGGGACTCTGTCCACCAGTTTAAATGAAACAGTGACTAGGGAGACTGCGACCAGAGCCTGGGAAGACCATGGTTATACATTAGATCACCCAGGGAGGAGGGCCTGGGTCACCCTATCACATAAGCCACCTACACTGGATGGAAGAAATACCAGCTGAGGCAGAAAGAACTGAGAATATGTGGTGGGGAAGGGGTGACATGCCTCTGCTGCTGTCCTGTGACCAGTGGGAAGAGTTGGGGTGTAGACCCACTACCAAGTCTTCTGATTTAAATTCCCCAGAAGCCGGGCTCGGTGGCTCAGCCTGTAATCCCGTGCTTTGGGAGGCTGAGGTGAGTGGATTGCCTGAGCCCACGGGTTCGAGACCTGCCTGGGCAGCTTGGCGAGACCTCATCTCTACAATAAATCAAAAAATCAGCCGGGCGTGGTAGCGCATGCCCGT